GTTTAGCATGTTCATGTGCTGTCTTTATAAAGATAACTATATCATCTAGATATACTGATACGTTATCCGACAGGTCTGCAAATAGTTCCATCATAACTTATTGGAAGAAAGAAGGTAACATGTGAAAGCCTTCAGGTGCACCTTTAAAGTGGTACTTCTTACCTTACCAAGTAAAGGAAAAGTATTTCCTATGCGGCTCAAAAATTTGTAATTGATGAAATGCAGCTTTTAAGTCTACTTTGGAAAAGATAGTCGCACCTTCCATTTTGCGTAGTATCTCGCTTATCTTTGGTAAGGGAAAACTATGTTGCAGAAGTAGTTTATTGATTGGCGACAGGTTTAATACTACTCTTGTTTTACTACACGTTCCATCAGCTCTATATTGATCGACCGATAAGAGAGCTAAGTTAACTGGGGTTGCATCATAATTGATTTCAATTAGACCCTGTTTTAACCAATCTTCAATTTGGGGTTTGACAACGTCTTTGTGTCTCCAACTCACGTAGTTATGTGAAGGACACTTTAACTTAGAGAAGTCGACGTTTGTCAAGTCAAGCTTAACGTACCCGCTAGAGAACTTAGACATACACCAGTCGGTTATTGCAATCTTTCTGTTTTGTATAATTAAGTCCATAATTATATCGGTAAAGTACAGAATCATATCATTTGCTTCACCTTTCGGAGGTTTAGGTATCTTTAACATGTTATCATCTGACTGATCTTTATTTGGGTCTAGCCCATTAGGCAGACCAGTGAGAGTTATATCTAAACTGAGCAGATTAGTCATACCAATAATCAAACCGTATTTCTGATACATGTCAGTAACGATTAGGTGAGTCTTTACTTCTCTTCTATCTGACAACATTATGTGTGCATAGTCAATGGCTTCTTCGCAAGTGGTAACTTTGCCATTTCCCAAGATTAAATTAGTTGTTTCGTTATGGATAGCCATACCTGTAGCGTAGGCTACTCGGCGTGAGACAGCAGAGACATCAGCCCCCGGATCAATAGGTGCTATAACTTTTTATCCATTTACATAAACAGTTTGAAATATACGTTCATCTCCTTTGGTATAGATTTTATCAAACCTTTTCTCGTAATCTTGCTCTAGTGCACACATATGGAACTTTCAGTGCTTAACTTGGACGTCCGGTATGTCCTTGCAATCTTCTTAACCAACGTGTTATCTCATTTGATCCTGATATTTTAGACTGACCGGAGGCCGTTTTTCTACATACCCATGATTCACTTCTTCCGCGGCAAACATCTGCTCCATACGATAAACCCATTCCCGCACTGCAGATACATCTGCCTTGCCTTCATAGACATCAGTTTTATTGAGCTTTAATGTGGTCCTCCCGACTGCAGCTCGTTGCGGTCGACCTAACAGTTACTGTATCTGTTGCTGTAGCTCAGCAACCTGTTGTTGATATTGTGCCATGTTGGCACCCTCCACTTGTTGCTGTAAGTTAGCAACTTATTGTTGATATTGAGCCTGGCCGGCCAAATTCTCCCTAATTTGTACCAAATCGGCCTCCATGTTATGGACCCACCCCTGCTCAGCCGATTGGGCCGGCTGGTTTGGCGTACTGTGTCCCTGACCCGACATATATTAATTTATGCTCTCTTAGTGATCCTCAGCTGTGGCAGCTTGGGCGTACCCCAACGTGTCCGAGACGTAACTAACTCAGAGGTCATCGGAGGTTGCCTGGGAATACAACTCGACTCAATGGACAGCACAAATCCACTTACCCCTCTGACGCAACCCGCCTGGGCCCACGATAAACCATCACTGTGCCTCCCGTACAGTACCTATGCTCATCTGAAAACTGTACACAAAGCCACGGGCGGGCGTACACCCGACCATGTAGCCCTCCGCCAACGCTGTGACGACATCAGGAAGAACTCAACAAAACGTTGGTCCAACAAGGAGATCGCGGCAATGGCCCGGCGCTAATACTACTACCAACTGGTTATGGGTAAACCGCCAACCTCAAACCGAGACACAGCCAGACACGACAGCTTCAATCGCTGCTTCGAGTCTACACCAATCCGGCTCTGTGCTATGATTGTAACGAATACGTACATGTTCACATTGCTCGACTACCGCACCGACGGCTGTCTCTGCCCTGTCTGCCCCGGTAGCCACAAGTTCACTACCAGCCACTTTACCTGCATCCAACAACTGATTCGACGCATCCTGGTAGGCCCGAAACTGCCGCCCATTGGCTCTGACCTCCTTCAGCAATTACAGGAGTGCCACGACTTCCACGGTATCTGGACCCTCCACGAACACCTTGGATCTTTTCTCCAGCATGTCGAAGAACCACCGTACCCTCACCCGTAGCTGACACATCAACAGATGTTCCCCATACTTCGGCTAATCACGCTGTTGAAGTACTACTTCCAAATATCGGCTCAAACCAAATCATCGCGCTTGTTGGTTCCGACTATGATACTTCTGATCCAGGCTAGCCAACACATACCGAACTCATCCGTGGTCTGGTGCGGCATTGGCTTACCTCCATCCTTGCTATGACGGATAACCTGGTCCTTCTCGGTATTTCGTACTCTGCACTAACCCATTTCGCGGCACTACACGGCGCAGACCCGATCCGTACCACAGAGGTGGGTACTCTACTTAGTAGGTCAGCAAGCGAATATATGGAACATTCGATAGTAACAGTGTTTTGTCAACACCGGCCCAAATTGACTCAGCACATATCTTCCATTGTCAACTCACTTGGCCCAAGCTTCAAACGGGAATTTACTGACCACTTCTTCCCATCAATATTTCCTGAACCACTACAGCGACTATGAGAGCCATAACATATACTTGCCATTTTTGAAATAAATAATATTATCCCTAACGTTTGCGAAGGTTCAAAAGCGGAGCCACAAGCAACCCTGGGCTTTTAAAAAAAAAAGGCCCTTAATTTTCCCACAAAGTGAGTTTCTACTAAATAACCCGTTCCAAACGCCGTTTGATCCACTGGGATAAATCCCACGTTAGCACGTCCGCACGTCTTCTGAGCCCAAGTCCTTTTAATCCTAGGACTGTACTACAAAGTCATACTGATAGCGGGGTACCTGGTCCTACCAAAGTTACAGCCGTTATCACACTTCCTTGTTGCTGAGCGATGTTCGTCGAGACTATCCTTGAAGAGCCCCTTCAGCAGCTTATATTATAAGGTCCCTCGAATTTCCTAGAGTTCGGTCCTTCTTCTCCAAATCCCAAAAATCGGCCCAAAAATGATTATCACAGTTTTGACGCTAAAAATTCCAAATTCCCAAATTCGGTAGTAGTAGCTTTATTCTTAGGTTTACGATATAAGCAGTCTTTAGTCCTCGTCGTCCTTGTGTTCCTTATGTTCTTAGTGAAAGTCTGAACTCTGACGCTGGACGTGGACTGTTTTTATAGTCCGCCGGGACCTATCTCTATCTATTCCCGAACGAACTTGTACTACTAACATCCTAGGCTATTAACTATAACTATAACACTCGTAGTGAGAGGGAAAGGCACGGACCCAGAAAACCTTCTGTTACGATGTTCTCGAACTTTCTCATGGCGTCATCGTCTATGTATATTCGTAAACACTTTGCTCTGTTCGTGAATATACATAGACAATTTTATTACGAGACAATTTTATTATGACCCATGTATAATGACGCTCAAAAATCATCAGGGCCTGGTTATATACGATTAACACTGGCTTGGGCCCTGAAATAAAACCCAATATGAATTTCTGGAATCACGACTCTATCATCGGGACCCGCCAAAATTCAGGGTACCGAAGAGTCTCAAAAATTCATTAGGAGTCCCGAAGCTCCTACATTTTGTTTGAAAAAAATACTCTTATAATATGTGTTTCATGTTACGACGCGGCCCTTATTTTTTACAGGTGTATTTATTTAAAGGCCATATTTTGGGGATATATACATTTGAAGTGTATATTGAGGTCAAGAGACCCAAGCCATTTGAGGTTATTATATCTATATATATATATTTATATATGTATATATATTATAAATGTAGTAAATACACATACATATACTCATACTTCATACATTTGCATACGATCACACGGGGCACTCTCGACCACGTTGCATAGACTATATATTGTAGAGTAGCAATCACAACGGCAACTTTTTCAGTCCACTCTCTCCAAGAAATCACCATAGCCGACTTAGCAATATGTCTGAACGTAAAGTCCTGAACAAGTATTTCCCCCCGGATTTTGATCCTTCAATCATCCCTCGTCAGAAGAAACCGAAGAATGACCAGGTATGTTCGAATGTTGATAACGTTTTCGCATCTGGAACGAAATGTATATTCAAATTCAGCTGCGATATATATATATATA